CTGTATCATTTCAGTCTAGCACGATAGTCCTCCAGAATGCTTAGGGTCTCTAGCTGCTCCGGTCTTCCTCCTCCTAATATCATCTCCTAGGTTCTAATTTTGAAGCATTAGTCTCTAATTTTTTTACTTATTTAAGAGCAGTGGGGAAAGAAAGCTTGTTTGAGGCTGAGACAAAAGGGGTCCTGAGTGGATTGAAAAGACCTTGCCCTTTTAGAAAACTTAGAGGAAAATCATGAGGTGAGGTGGATCCAAGGTAGGGAAAACTGGGAAATCACAAGGTGGTATGTGGTAGGACAAAACTATGACCAACCAATAAGATTATGAACATAATTGCTCAGGTAATATTGATTAAATCAGGTTCAAATGGGGAAGCAGGTCACAGAGCAAGCAGGCATGGAACAGAACAGGGGCTCTTCCTATAGGAGACTGGCTCAGTGGCTCTTCCTGGGTTTCTCAAGGTGATGGATACTTATTTAGAAGCTCTGGCCCCTTGAAACTTCTCAGATCACTGCGTGACTCTGAAGGTCCTTTGCCCCTGAAGTCCGAGGTATTTAAATTAAAAGTTCCTTAACAAGAGCTTTGTTCCTTGACCAGAGCTGAAGTACAAGTACATGCTTGGGTGAGGTGGCACTTTGTTCTAGTCACATGAAAAGGTATGTGACTCGTGCTGTGTGTGTTGCTAGGCTGGTTTTAATGAGAGTATTTTTGAGGGCTGGTACAGAAGGGATGTCCCTAAGAGCATGGAGGAAAAACACAAGAAGGAGCCTGGGAATGTTCATTTCATAACTACTGGCAATGAAGTTAAAAGCATTGCTGATCTTACAATTGCACTGTCTCCCACTTGGGACATGCTTCTGTTTTAGGTACTTTTCTCTCATTGCTGAGACAAAATACCTGACACACAAAGTTAGAGGGGGAAAGGTTTATTTAGCCCACAGTTTGTGGAGGTTTCAGTCCATAATTGTCTGGCTTCAAGGCTGTCAAGTTGGCATATGACAGGGGTAACAGTTCATGGTGGTGGAAAACAGCAAAAGCAACAAGTGAGAGCAATATAAGCCTCTATGCGTCCCTCATGCTGTATCCAGTCTAGAGGGATTATAGTGGTGACAGTATAATCAGTGGATGGTCCAGAAATCACCCACCTTTAATCCTAACATGGCACTATTAGTCAATTACACACTGTAGATTCAACCACCTCAAAAACAAAACAAAATAAAACACATGCATGCACACACACACACACACACACACAGAAACAAATCAAAAAACCCAAAAAACTTCAAAACCCTATGACTGTCTTTGGGGAGACATCTAGACACAAACCCTAACAACTTCTCCCATGGATCTTTCTTCCCATAGAATTCTTTTTTTTTTTTTTTTTTATGGTACTGGGGATGGAACTCACAACCTCGTGCATGCAAGGCAGGTGCTTATGCTGCTGAGCTAAATACCCAGCCCTCTTCCCAAAAGTTATTGGCGTTGACTTTAAAAAAAAATCAAGTCATCACTGAGAGGGTGTGGGGAACTTGACAATGAAAATTAGTATATGCCTTTCAAAAACAACTGTAATTTAGGGTGAGGATCATGAAAAGATCTCTGCCCTTTGAATCAGTAGTAACTCTTCCAGGAAGCTAGCCTAAGGAAAAGATCCCAAATGGGGAACATGGTATGTAACCTGCACACCTGGTCTGCAGTGTAGGAGTATAAATGCTAACACAATTTCTAGTTAGTCATTTGAACTCCAGTGCTCTGTTGGCAGCTCATAATGATTACTGGGGCTCCTGCTTGACCTCATATTAATTGGTCAAGAGTCCTGGAAGCTTATTCAGTCCAAAGAGGATCAAAGAAAATAGCCAGTCAGTTTAGGCCACTGCAGAAGTTGCAATTTCTATTATGTTGCTTTTGCCACTGCCACCAGATTCACTATTAAAAATAATCAAAGTCATCTTGCCCACTGTCACATCAAAGTCACTCTTAGACCCAGCAAAAGCCACGTGAGTCCTTTGAGACTTCAGGGTTAGGCTTATTTTTAGTCACCACATTTTGGCTCCCAAGTTTCCAGCTCTGAGTCTATGTTGCTATGCGTTGCCAGGCTTCCAGGACAAGAGCTCTGTGCCAGGGTGGCTGGCTTCAGAACAGCTTCCAGCCTCTCCCTGGGTCTAACCATTCACCGCACTCCATCAGGACTACAGCGTGCGCCTTCCTTTCCTTGGGGACTGTCTAGTCAAGGGCCATGGCTTTGCCTGACCTTGATAAGGTTGCAACAGTGCACCAACCCTTTTGATCTCTCTAGCTTTGAACAGTGAGGAGTGGGTTTTGGATATTAGTTTTCTGCCTCCTGTAGGACCTGCTCCATAGACAGATTAACCACCTCTTCTGTAATGATCATCTCTGTGCTTTGATGGCTCTCAGAGTGACAATTTTGATAGAATTCTATTGTACCTGAACACCAGACTAATGGATACCTATTTCCCCTTGTGTAACTAAAATATCTGCTCAACAATCTTTAATACAACAGTGATGACAAAATAAGCTTCTAAAGTTGAAAAATAAAAATAAGGCAACCATGTGTTCATGTACATACACACTGAGAAGTATAAAAGTTAGGTATGAGAAGCCTCCAAAGATGCAATACCAGGAGGATTAGGCTTTGAAGTAAATTAGGATATATTTGCTCAATGAGGAGACAACGGTAGCTTTAAAAATGATGTGTAAAGAATATAAGGAAATACAGGCATTTTCTAAAAATTATCATGTTAAAATGAACAAAGGACTCATAAAATCAACTGTTTACATGGAGCTTTTGCCCCTAAGACTTGCTAATGATTTGTTTGGGAAAATGAGGGAGAAAGGACTGAAAGATGGCTTCTAAATGTTTGGCTTGAGCAGTGAGATGAATAGTGACATTTTTTACTGACGCAAGGAAGAACTGGAGTAGATATCAGGAAACAAAGACCCTTATCTCTACCAAGTTGGAGAAACTTCTTAGCCATTCACAAAGCGATAGGAGCAGCAGTGGAACACTGGAATTTGAGCTTGGGGGAGTTCAATGGGGTCAAGAGCAAAATTTTTTAAATTAAGTAAACATAGGATTGAAGGAATTCACTTAGGAAGAAGGAGGTATAGATGAACAGTGTGAAAATATCAGAAACAGAGCCTGTGGTGATTTCAACATTTATAGACCAGAGAAAGAAAGGGGGAAACAAAGAGCCAGAGGCAATAATGCAAAGTTAGGGGAGCGGAGAAAGTGCAGTCATGCAACTGGGAGAGGATGGAGTGGTTCAAAGGGCAAATGATCTTTAAAGGTTGTGGGAGGTGAGGACACATTATGGCCATTGGGTTAGATGAAAGAGGTTGTTCATGGCATTGAAGAGAGATTCAGTGGCCTGGAGGAAGGTAAGGACTTCTAGAGCTGGCCAAGGACAGCAGTGAGGAAGCGTGCAGTGACTATAGAGAGCTTTTTGAGGAAGCTATGTGTGTTGGGAGAGTGTAGAAATGCCACAGGATTCTTTTTTTTTGGAGCCGCTAGAACATGTCTGATTGCTCATGCCAATGATCCAAGAGGGAGGGAGAAGAAATTCATTGTGCGGGGGAGAGAAGCCTTCATTGCAGGAGAAAAATCCTTGAGAAGGACAAAGGGATGATATCCATGGCACAAGAGGAGAGATTTATCTTTAATGAAGTGGGCAGTTTTGCTCTGTGGAGCTATGGGAGTTTGAGGTGCATAGGAAGACTCCTGGCACACTGCTCAGCAAGTGTCTGCCATATTATTACACGCCAGTCTCTTTGAATGACGCAAGAGAATACTTGGTGGCCAGGCCAAACCATTGCTCAAAAGGCAAACCTTGAATGACTGCATTGTTAATTAGCATGTCCGAGCCAAAGAGAACAGTAATGAACTGAGAATGCCACCTTCCCTTCTTTCCTGAAGCCCGGCTCAGACAAGTGTCCTCTTACATAAAGGGCATTGATAGGTTAGGCTGGAAAGACCTACATAGGATTGACAAGACGGTTAAGTTGAATTTGTCATTTCCTTTTCCATTGGTTTATGTTTAGCCATTAGTAGTGCTCTTCGAAGCTTCAGAGGGTAGCAGTCTGGGGGACAGGGAACATGGAGAAAACCACAACCTCAAAACCTCTGCCATTGTGCAATCCAGATGAAAACTGCTCTCACTGTGGAGACATACCCAGAAGCATCATTCACTGACTCCAGTGGAGAAGATTTCCTCACCAACTTGGGAAACAGCCTAAGAGGGCCCGAGTTCAAGCTACTGTTCCCAAAAGTTCTATATGGAGACTGGGAACTTCACGTTTTCTCTATACGAAATATTACTTGTTACATTAGACTTCACTGTTGAAACAGAGTAATCTGTCAAACAGCTGATGAAATAAATGTCTTTGTTCTCAAAGGTATTGCCACAAAGGAAGGATTTCTTCAGAAAGCACAAACCTTCCACCATTTTAATCAACAAAAAGCTTAATAATCCAATGAAAATTTAGAATAAAGACAACTGCGCCTCAGACAGGATTCCTAGTTACAAACACCAGGAAGCAGCTCTAACAGAGTTGTGCAGAAAAATAATTTCTTAAGAGAATAGTGGGAATAATCCCAATATTTATTTAAATAGAAGCACTCAACGAGCTGTGATATAGTTGTTAATGGGCTGTATAAAAGTGAAGTAAGAAAAAACCCCACCAATATGCATAAGATAAATATATCTTGCAGGCCTAATGAGTGAGAGAAGCCAGACATTATGTATAGAATCTGTTTATAAAGTTCAGAGAAAGGCAAAGCCAGTCTGAGTTGTTTCTGTCAGAAGAGTGATTAACTTTTCATGACAGGAGGGCTGAAAAGGGACACCAAGAGGGACTCAGAGTGCTAGTTACATGGTGTGTTCAATTAGGAAAATTCCCCGAACTCTGTACTTTTGATGTGGACGCTTTTCTCTGTGTACAAAGGAGAGCAGAGAGCAACGGATGTGTTGCAAGTCAAAACTTACCAGTAAGGGCTGGAGACACAAGTTTGGGCCTTCGGTCCAGTCCTGCTTTCCAGATCTCTTACCGAAAACCACAGCACTGGACACCCATCTGTGATAGCCCACATTTACTGATTTTCTGTCTCCGCAGTTGGAATGTGAGCTGACTGCTGGCACTTAGTAGGTCCTCACAAACGTTTACTGAGTCTGGTCGCCTTGTTCATCACTGAGCCAAACTCCACTTCTCATGGTGCATTCTTTCTCTAGATAGTTACTCATCATCCAGAGTCCAGCCAAGCACGCTGGCCCAGAAACACATTTATTCTTTGAGGCGATTTCCTGTATTTCTTCTCAGATTGTCAGCAATGACTTAAAATTTGATTTTCTTAAAGCAAACTTATTTCCCGTAATTTCAGCTCATAGCAGCAGAGTCATCCCACAGCAGCCTCTCACAACAGAAACGCGTAGTATCTTGGTGAACGTGCTGTTGGTCACAGAAGTCCACATCAGCTGGAGCCCCGACAGGAAACGAGGCTGAGGGTGTGGAGCGATGGGACTCGGTCTATCAGGGAAGGGCGCGGTCATTTCCTTGACCTGGATGAGGCTGCGCGGGCTCCCTCTGGGTTTATTGTTTCACTTTCTCGCCCACTGATTCCTTATCTAGGTCATTTTGGGCCTGTTCAGAATTTAGTGTAACTGTGTGACACAGTGTAACTGTGCCCTGCTGCTGTACCTTCTGTGATTTAGGGTGTTTTAGGAAACAGCTGAATGATGATCCCCGGGATGCAGAACCCAAAGGATGTAGACTACCGCCTTTGAGCCTAGGCTTACTTCTAAAAAAGGCTCATGTCTCCTTGGCCCCTGTCGGCCGCTGAAAGCCTTCCCTGCCCAGCTATTGCAGTGGCCTTTGGGACACTGAGTGGACCTTCAAACTCGTGTCCTAGAGTGGGGCAAGACAAAGCAATTGTCTCTTGTGACTTTACTTAAAATCTTCTCACTTCTACAAAAGTTCTCTCTTTTGAGAAACAGAGCTCAAAAGTCAAAGAATTATTCTCTATGACCATTTTGGGTTTTTACAGTTAATCATGTGTTCTCTGTTGATATCTGCTTATGGTGTATACTGATTACATTTATTGTGTGCACATGTACGTAGCTCATCTTAATTCTTTTTTGTCCCTTCCCTGCTCGTCACACCCTGCTCCCTCAAACACGATTCCTTTCCATTTCAAAAAATCTCCATTCATATTTTCTTCTATTCTCTTTTTTAAAACATCCTTTTCCCTTTCCTTCCCTCCCCTCTCCATCTCTTTTTCCCTTTCACATTTGAAAATGATCTCCCTACTTTTTTTTTAACCATGTAAAAGAAATCATGTGATATTTAAACTTGCAAGTCTGATTTATTTCACTCAAAATTATGGTCTCAAGGTGCATGCATTTATCCGTACAAATGCCTCAAGTTTACCCTTCATTATGGCAGAGTAGTACTCTATTGGATCTAAATGCCACACTTTATTGATTTATCTGTTGATGGACAGACAGGCTCTTTCGACGTATCTGGGCATTATGAAATGTGCAGCTATAAACGTGGGTATACATGTATCACAATAATATGATCATTTTAACTCTTTTGGGAAGATTCTTAGAAGAGGAATTCCAGGATAAAGTGAAATCTCTATTTCTGATTTTTAAGAAATGTCCACACTGATTTCAAAGTGGTTGTGCTTGTTTGTATTCTCACCAGCAATGCAGAAGTGTTCTTTTGCCTTGAAGCCTCACCAGTATTTGTTATTGTTAGATTTTCTTGATGGTAGCCATTCTTCCTGGAGTACAGTGATATCTCAGTGTTGTTTTAATTTGCATTTCTTTAATGGCCAGTGAAACTGAGCATTTTTTCATGTATTTATTGGTCATCTGAACTTCTGAGAAGTGTCTGTTCACTTTGGATACCCATTTTTTGATTGAGTCTTTGTTTTCAAGGTTTAAGTTTTTGAATTCTTTATATATTCTAGATGTCAGTCCTCTGTCTGAGGAATAGCTGGCAAAAGATTTTCCAATTCTTCAGGTCATCTCTTTACTTTGTTGATTCTTTCCCTTGATATGCAGAAGCTTATTAATTTGATATGATCCCATTTGCTGATACTCAGGATTATTTCTTGTGCCGTTAGGGTTCTATTCAGAAAGTCCTTGTCTACACTTCCATCTTTAAGAGTTTTTCCCATTTTGTATTCCAGAAGATTATCTCTGCTTTAACATTTAGCTGTTTGATCCGTTTTGATTTTAGTTTAGTACATGGTGAGATATATGAATCTAGACTTAATCTGGAGCTCTATGATCATTTTGTAAAACTCTCAGCTATATTTCTGCATTTCATTTGGAACATGGGTAGATATTTTGGGAGACCATGGCTAATAAAACTTAAAAGTTATCTCTATTCTGAGTTCAGAGAAGTAAAGAAAAATCTGGGGTGGATTTTTCCTGCTACCCTCTTTTGCCCATCTACCCCTCTACTGCTGGCACATAGCATACCAGTTTCTCTTTCTGTCTCCATCTCCTCCCTGTAGTAACTGTATTGGTCATTTTTTTCCCATGGCTGGAGCAAAGTACCTGACACTCTCAATTTAGAGGAGAGATTTATCTGGCTCATGGTTTTGGAGGATTCAGTTCATGGTCAGTTGGCTCCAGAGCAGGAACATCATGGTGGAAGGGAGTGATAGAACAGAACTTCTCACCTTATAGTGGTAGGTATAAAGCGCTCAAGAGAAGAGTGCCATTGAGAGATGTGTCCTTCAAAGGCACATGTCCAGTGTCCATCTACAACTGTGTCCAACCTCCTAACAGCTCACTCAGCTGTAAACTTCGTGGATTAATCCATTGATAAGTATCTCCATGATTCAGGATATATCTCCATGATTCAATCACCTCTCCAGGAGTCTCTTACTCCAGTCCTGTTGACAATTAAGATTAACAGGCCCAGCAGCCAAAATACATTTCCCATTTCCCATAGAAAGTATACTTACTAATACCATCTCAAATTTGACCTAACTAAAAGCAAATTACTAATCGTTTCTGTCACACCTGGTCATTCTTCTGGATTTTTATTCAGATGAGTGATAGTATCATTCTTCCTCTTACCCAAGTCCCAAATCAAGGACTGATGTAGGTAACTGTTTACTAAGTCTGACCAATCCTATTTCTCAAATGTCTGATCCTTCATTAGTGTCACCACCTTCCTATTTCAAACCCTTCTTGATTTCTGCTCACTCCAGATCTCTTAAGAAGCAGCCAATCATAGTTATAAGTGGGCTAAATGTGTCTAGAAGAGCACACAGCCTTGATTGCTTTGTATCAATGATTGAATTCATGTATGAATTCTGTTTGAATTTGGGCAAGTGGTTTAATTACTTAAGCCTCACTTTCCTCATCTATATGGTAAGCTAATGATGTCACTTGCTATGAGAATTTAGTGAGATTATGTATAAGATAGCCCAGCAGCCAGAAAATTCTATGTTAATAGTGATTGCTCCCATCTGTTCTCTCATTACTTTATTACTAGGTTTTCCTTCAGTAGGGAATCTCTGTTTGTGTTTTAAAAACACAATATCATATCAATAAAACTCCCTGAAATTAAAGAAAAGAAAAGAAAAACCTCTTGATACCCTTACCTGGTATCTACCTACCAAGTAATGTTCCATTCTGGAATCCCAGCTTTTTCCATTAGTCGCCCAACTTCTTACTCCTTAACTTTATTTTGTGTCCCAGGCTTTGCCCCCTTCTGCCCCTGCTCCTGCTCCCTACCTGCTCTCTACGTGGCAGCCTCCGTGTATTTGTTTATTTTGTATTTTCTGTCTGCTCCTCCTCACTGCCTGTCAAGAGCTAACTCAAGTAGCTTCTCTCTGGTGATGAATTGTCTTTTCTTAGTATCTCTGCATGCAATTGCACCTGTCTGACATGGTGGCTCACTTCTTCCTGGTTCTGTGTATTCACTTTAACTCTCTAGTGGGAAGAATCTCTGTTATTTGGCCTCAAGTCTCCATATGTCAGGGTAAAAGTTGGAACATGCAAGCAATCATTTTTTCTGCCTGGCAAAAAGAAGCTAAATAACTAATTTGAGCAAACCTCCACAAAGCCAGTTGGCTAGATCAATGTTTGATACACAAGAGCTGGTTTAAATGACACCCAAATCTGGAAAAATAATTGTGAACATGGGACATAGAAAATATCTGATTTTTTCTCCACTAGCAATACTGTGGTCACCCAGCACATTTCTCTGCTTCTAAGCTTTCTATTGTAGTGATGAGCAATGTAAGATTGTACATCAGCCTCCCCTCACACAGGACTGAGTGGGTTAATGTCAATTTCTTCAATATTTTTCAGTGAAACTCTTAGCGGCAATTGGATACAAATATCACCTCTTATTATTTCCATTTTTCTCCTCTATTGGAATATAATTGACAAATAGAAATTGTGTATTTTTGGGAAATATATTTCTTGATGCTTTGTTGTGTGTATACACTGTAGAATACTACAACCAAGTTAGTTAATCTACCCTTTCACTTAGTTGCTATGTGTGTATTGAGAACACTTAAGATCTACCCTGCCAGAAAATTTCAAGTATACAATATAGGATAGCTAGGTACCGTCACTGTGTTGGATGTGTCCACCAGAACTTGTCCATTGTGCATAACTGAAATGTGTGCTGTTTGCTCAACATTCTCTCATTTCCTCCACACCCTTGTCCCTGGCAAGCATCGTTCTACTCTACTTCTGTTAATTTTAGACTCCACACATAAGGGAGGTTGTATTTGTTTCCAGTGTCTTGCGTTTTTCACTTAGCACAGCATTCTTTGGATTCACTCATATTGTCACAAATGGAAGGATTTTCTTCTTCAAATGTCAATTCTTTTAAAACCATTTGAGGATCCCGAGAAAGTTTGTTTTCCAATGGTTACTTTTGTCAGAATCCCTGCTAATTTCTTGAAATCCCATATATGAGTAGCAATATTTTCCTCTAGACACTGGCGACAGACCAGAGGGTGTGGGAGGAAAAACATGAATCTTGCCAGAAAGTAATGCTTTCAAAATATGGGCTTAAATTCCATTTTGAAAAGTTTTAATACAATTTTCCTTCTCGCTTCATACTATCTTTTCCTCATTTCAAGGGCTTTAAAAAATCTGTCTTAAATTTTTTTAAATAAACAGGATATTGCCAATTTTAAGAAGAATATAAATTTAGGAAGTATTTTATGGATGGAGCCAGGATAGTCTGGTTTGGAGGATGATAAAGTGTTGAAATGTTTGTGCGAACAATCCTGCTTTTATTACTTTAATATTTTTCATTTAAATATACCTCCTGCTACCCTACTGTTCCATTGTTCAATGAATGATACTCAAATATATCAGGTTTGTTTGATGGGTATACCTGTGACAAAATACCTTTTATTGTTGCTTTAAAATATTGTTTTCTGTTTAATTTTTCTTAGCAATTCATGAATGTATTTGTATTTGATT